ATGTGATATATGTGATTTTTGTGTTAATTTGGATATATTTTATTTTGGCTATGAGATTCTCCTATAAATTAGTACGTGTTCATTAATTTCACGTACTTCGCTATTAAAATAAATGATTTTGATAACGGTTCAAATCTTAAAAATTTGGGTCATTGCAGAATGGTATCAGAGCGGGTCTACGTTTCTATAGACTTAAAAAAATAATACAATAAAATAAAATTGGTGGCAAATTTTATTTTCTTAAAAGTTTGACATTAAATGTTTGTGTGTTATAATTATTAAATTGATTTTAAATAATAATACCTTTGGATGGATTTAAAATTGATGATAGTTTAGAGTTAAATTGTTTTTTTTTTTTTTTTTGGGTTATTTTCTCTGTTTTATACTATCTATATTTGTTGGTTGCTCTTTTGAATGATGATCATTTCAAACGATTGTCATATAAGCGTCTATATGAGAATTAGAGCAATTTAAATTGTTAAGTGCATTAAATGTATAAGTAGCTAACCTTTATCCGCTACTATTATTTGTGTGTGTGTGTGTGTGTGTGTGTGTGTGTGTATTATTTAAGTTCTACAACATGTGAGAATTTGAAAGATCTTTAGCACTCTACAATCACTTGTCGACCACCCTCCGACGACTCTAAGGTACATAATTTGGGTAAGAAAATAAATGATCATTCAAAGATTTTGTGTAGCTTGCATTTTCTATTGTCTAAGTATAGACTCAACGATATGTACATTTTTTTCTTGTCCAGAACTTTTCAATTTTTCAAAATAATTTTCGTGGACGAAAATATTTTGAGGAGAGATTGTAACGCCCCGAAAATTTTATAAAATAAGCCATTTAAATTCTGTGCAAAACCCAATCAACCATTTGCACTTTCATCACGTGAAATTATTCCACAATTGGGGACCGTAAATTAAGAAAATTTCACTACCATAAAGGTAACCACCAATTTTTCAGTAATGAGATGCTAATTTTCAGTAATGGGATTGACAAACATTTTTGCAGACCAAATCATTCAGCACCTAATCTGGAAAGATATAGTCACGTTTCCTTTTCTTTTCATTTTTTCTTTACAAGAAATTGTATATGTAATTTACTACCTCATTCACGCTTGGGGAATTACAGAAGAAAGGAGAGACCACTTTCAGATTCAATATTTGAAAAGAATTATGATATGTTTTACTATATCAATCGCGTGTATACACACGGTAGCAGCAGAGGAAAATTGTCGAACGTGAAAATTGTTTAAATCCTTTTCATCAATCAAGGTAGGATTTCGAGGTGCAAGTGATTAGTCCCGTTTAAATTTATTTCTTCCTGTTGATGGATATTATACTCATGAAAGTTATGATATGATATGGCCATCCAGTACCAAAGATAGGTATTGAGCTCTACTGGTTTCTAAGATATGATATGACGGTATGATATATCTGATGCATGATTTAAATACTTGTATTCAGGATTGTGCTGTTATTCATGTCCTAATGAGTATTCTCATATACTCACCATTTTTCCTACTCTTACAGGTTTGAACGGATCGTTGGTTGGTGGATGAGGAGGTGCAGTCGTTGTTGCCAGGATATTTAGAATTAAATTATTAAATCCAATGTAACGTGGGAAAACTTTTTGATTCCAACATTTTATTTTCTTGTTAATAAATGTGATATACGTGATTTTTGTGTTAATTTGGATATATTTTATTTTAGCTATGAGATTCTCCTATAAATTAGTGCGTGTTCGTTAATTTCATGTACTTCACTATTAAAATAAATGATTTTGGTAACAGTTCAAATCTTAAAAATTTGGGTCATTACACTTATGATCGTGCCTAAATTACCCTCTCTCGAGTGCCGAAATTGACTAGCATCTACTCATTTAATTAGTGACCAATTAATTGAAAGCATTAAAATCATAACATAAATAAACACATATGGAAAATTTAATAGAAATAACTAAAATTAATCAATCCATATTCTCAAACTGTGGTTGCAGTCAAACCCTAGATTAGATGTTTAGGTCATGATGGAAGAAATAAATCTAAACATATTGATGGATAACATAAAAAGAACAAGAAAGAAAAGCTCTTTTGAAGCTTTTAATTGGTATTCCCCTTGATGTTCTTCATGCCTTCTTGCTTGATTCCTTGATGTTGACCTCTTTGTCCCTGATGAATTGTGTGTTGAATAGTCTTCATTCTTGTCCCTTCAATTGTTGGAGAAAATAGGTCTTTTAAATGGTATTTATAGTATCTTGAAGTTTTTGGATGAAGCAAGGTTGAGTTGCGCCAAGAAAAAAGTCCAAAAACATAAAAAAATCCTTTTCCGCATAGGCGCCCAATATGGGCGCTGCAGCGCCACCCTTACTGTTATATTTAGAATCATGGGTGCTGGCTCAGCCGAAAAGACTGAATACACGTCTTTCAATGTTTTTATCATAACTTTTCCTCTTGATATCCAACTGAGGTGATTCAAAGATGCATTGAAAAGATAGCTCAAAGAACTACAATTTTATTCAGACATCATTCTCCAATTCAAACATTTGCTATGTCAAAAATGAGTCTCAATGTGAGACTGAAAATTCGAAGCATAACTTTTTCAGCTGGAAGTTGATATGTGATCACACTTCAAATAAATTTGATCCCTTTGATGTCTTTCTTCATCCAATTGACTCCTAACACTCTCGGATCTTCATTGAGAGGTTTGACATAACTTTTGATTATTTGTATTTTAGTCCCAAACTTTGGATCTTTTACAATTTGGCAATTTCCTCCAATTTCACCAACTTTTGCTTATTTTTTTCAATTTCATCAATCTATATCACAACATCAAAACACTTTCGAGCATAACAAAATAATGAATTAAGTGGCATAAATATCATGAGTATAGAGCTCTCATCGAATACCCCAAACTTAATATTTGGCTTGTCCTCGAGCAAAAACCAAACTAATTAAAATCACTATCAAACACACAAACAAAATCACTTAAAACAAATTGTGCTAGATATATTGTCTTCATAGCTTGGGATTGAAAACATAACATCAATCTCATAAATCATTTCAAAGTTATAATGTAAAAGCTAAATTATTACCTATTTAATGCAAAACGGGTGTGTGTATAGAGAACCAAGTGCAACGCTGTACAATAATAAGTTGATATAAATCGTGACCTTAAAAGTCAAGATTTCCTTACCTCGCTCGTGAGAATCATACACCCCAAACATATTTTCTTTTCTCTTCCGAAGATGTATTCTAGAGTTGATTTCCAATACTAATTTCTTACACCACTCACGTTGGGTAGATTTTACTGATTATAGTTTAACATATCAACAATTGAGGATTCTCATTATTTTTTACTGCTTCAACCTCCAAGTATCATTCAAGTTACTCAACCCCTTGTCAAAAGCAAAATCCTTCTTAAACAAGTGTTTGGGGTTTAATCAAGACATGTGTTGTCCATATTTTTTCTAGATATAATTTTATTTCTTTGATCACCTTTTGTGCAGACTTCTCTCCATTAAGCTTTCTAAATGACCCTTGTAATGAGCTTTACGTCGATGACTCCCAAATCAGATGATTTTAAGGCATCAGGTTTTAAACCCTTGCAGGTTTAATCACTTGAGTCATAAAGGCTACCAAGAGAAGAGTGACAATGAGATTATTATTATTATTGTCCTCATTGGGATCCTTTTGGAATAGCTTCACAACAAGGCAGCTTCTTCCCTTTTTGTGCAGTGATTAGTGCAATGTCCCTTATTAAATATTCATTCTCGAAAATCGACCTCTAACTCAAGGTTTTCAACCAATTTTCATCCTATTGATTTCAGATAGTCCACACAAAACTAAGCATACATGGAATCCACATTTATCTCCAATTTTACCTTAAACATATCAACCATCTCGACATTCTAGATTTGATTTAAGGTATAATAATGTTTAGTGATCGTTTGGATTTAGCATCTAAGTTCTCTAATCCAACCAATAAACATGAATCAACCTACTCATGTACAATGCCAAAATCAACTCACCTACAAGAATATTTTCCATTTCACCCAAATAAGCAAAAATTTAACTCTAACACACAACTTATCCACAATTCATTAATCGATGCATGTTCTCAATAATATACATCATTGCCGACAAGGTATCTAACACACACACAAGCATGCAAAATAATTAAATACACACACACACACACACACATATATATATATATATTGAAAAACAATGCACACAGATCACCAAAAAAAAAAAAAAAAAAAAATAAATAGTTTATAATACACTTCCCTTAAACTTAAACTAAACATTCCCCAATGTAAAATAAAGGAGGAAACTTCCATGATTTGTTTGAATTGCCAATGACGTTATGGTGCTATGATGCTGAATTTGATTGATACTTCTTTTATCTTTTTCCCAAACTTGAGAATTACCTCACTTTCTCTTCATCAATTTGGTTTAAGTATTCCACGATTTCATGTTCTTGAAAAGTCATATTTTATTTATTAAACACATGGAACAAGTGGCACTTAGCTCAAACATCTAATAACCAACCTAATTACTCAATGGCCTAATGGAAAACGTGATATCGATGATGGTTCCTAAATAAACTATAAAATAAACTAAACTATACTATAATGAAAAATAGAATAAATAAAAAATTAAAGCTTAGGTTGCTTCCCAAGAAGCGCTTCGTTAACGTCATTAGCTTGACATAACCAAGGTGTCTATGTTGGATCTTTAGGTGGCACTTCTCTCTTGTTTCTAAACTTTACTCGTGACTTTGTATTCTTTTTCACTGTAGCATGGCCAATAGAATTTGTGTAGCCTTCAAACTTCCTTAGGTTTGATAATGTTTGGTGGTTTCAACGGCTTTTCCACGTATCCTTTTTCTCAGGTGGAGAAGTTTCGTGCTCTAAGACATAATCCACCATTTTATTGGTCTCTTTTCTATCTGCAAATGTATCAGACCTTGAATACTTGAGAAGCATATGTTGTTCTAGAGGGTTATAGAACACTTTCTTCTTGCCTTGCTCATCCCTCTCTGATCTTCAATAACCCGTTGTGTCAATTTTCCTTCTTGTACATCAATCAATGCTCTTCTAGTAGCCACAAAAGGTCTATCAAGAATCAATGGTACTTTCTCATCCTCTTCCATATACAACACCACAAAATCCATCGGAAAGATGAACTTATCGACCTTCACCAATGCATCTTTAATGCCCTTTGTGTATATAATTGATCTGTTTGCTAATTGCAAGGTGAAGGTTGTGGGCTTCACTTCTCCAAGACCCAATTTTTTGAACACTGATAGGGGCATCAAGTTAATGCTAGCTCTAAGGTCATCCTGCTTTATCAAATGTGATACCACTATAATGCAAGGAATGTTGAAGCTGTCTGGATCTTTCAATTTTTTAGGGAGCTTCTTCAGGAGAATAGCACTATACTCATCTATCAACTTAACTGTCTCAAACTCCTCCAACTTTTTCTTCTTTGACATCACTTCCTTTAATGGTACTTTCTCATCCTCTTCCATATCCAACACCACAAAATCCATCAAAAAGATGAACTTATCGACCTTTACCGATACATCTTTAATTCCCTTTGTGTATATAATTGATGTGTCTACTAATTGCAAGGTGAGGGTTGTGGGCTTCACTTCTTCAAGACCCAGTTTTTTGAACACTGATAGGGGCATCAAGTCAATGGTAGCTCTAAGGTCATCATGCTTTATCAAATGTGATACCACTAATAGTGTAAGGAATGTAGAAGTTGTCTGGCTCTTTCAATTTTTTAGGGAGCTTCTTTAGGAGAATGGCACTACACTCTTCTATCAGCTTAACTGTCTCAAACTCCTCCGACTTTCTCTTCTTTGACATCACTTCCTTTAAGAACTTGGCATAGCTAGGCATTTGGGTCAAGGCGTCCACAAAAGGAATGTTGATGTAGAGTTTCTTGAAGACCTCCAAGAACCTTATGAACTACTTAACAATTTGCTTCTTCATGAATCTCCGAGAAAATGGTAGTTGTGTCTTCAGGATGGATGGATCATATGGGAGTAGATTGAATAAGGTTTATGTGCCTCTTTTGCTACCTCTATCTCAGTCTTCTGCTCTTCAACCAGCTTTTTCTCCACAAGTATGGGATCTGGTGTAGGTACCACAACCTCTTTAAGCTTGCTTTCTTGAACGTCTTTACTAATCCTTAGGATGATAGCATTGCAGTGTTCCCTTGGGTTAACCTCTTTGTCACTAAGAAATTTTCCTTCCTGTTGGGATTGTATCGCAGTTGTTATTTAACCAAGCTGCACCTCTAAGTTTTTCACTGTAACCCCCCAAGTTGGTCATGTTGGTCATATAAGTCTCATCGTTGTGAAGTCTTCACTCATCTTCGTTGAACCTCGACCTGGTCTCTGAAATGAAGGTTCCAAATATATCTTAGTATTGTGTCTATGTGGGCACTACAGCACATTCACATTGTTGCCATAAGAGAAGTTTTCATGGCCCTGGATTCATGTATGGTACTAGTTCGCTAAGTAGTTTCCTCTCTGATTGAAGTTTTTGTCATTCACATATTGGACTTGCTCTCATTCTCTGACTTAGATACATAGTATGAAGTGGAGGTAGCCATAATAGAATATGATTTCTTTCGAGTTCCCTATGATGTCAATGTAGCTATTTAACTAGTGAGAGATGACATTTGAGCTACAAGGACGATAATGGGATCAACCTCATAAAGGCCAGCAACTTTCTTTCCACTTGAACGCTCACTTGGCCATTAATAGCTATTAGTAGCTATCTCATCTAGTAATGAATAGGCAGCACCTACACTCTTGGACATCAATGCACCCCTACTACAGTGTCTTCTACTGTCCATGTCTAATCATTCAACCTGTTGTAAAAGAGTTCGATTTGTGTCCAATCCTGTAACCATGCTGGGGGCATCTTCTAAGTAGATCTTTGAATCTCTCCCAAGCTTCATAGAATGGTTCGAAGTCAGCTTGTCTGAACTGACCAATTTCACTCCGCACTTGAGCTGCCTCAGAAGGAGGAAAGAATTTGGTGAGAAATTTCTTATCCATATGGCAAAGACTGGAACCATGCTTTGGCCTTACCTTTTAAAGAAAATGAGAATAAGGTGAGTTTGATGGCTTCTTCAGTAACACCATTCATCTTGACTGTATCACAAATTTCCATAAAAGGCCCCAAATGAGCATTTAGGTCTCCTATTGGAGCTCCTCCAAATTAATTTTGCTATACCATATGGATTAGCCCTACCTTCAGTTAGATATTATTTGCAGCTATTGTCAGGTGTGCAATACCGAAGTATTTCTCAATGACAACTGATCTGATGTAGTCCCTCATCGTCCAATATTGAACATTACGACTGTTTTGATTTACTATTGGAGGATCTTGTTCTATCATTGCTTCACGATTTTGTCTCTGTAAGCTTATTAAAAAATGGAAAGTGTATTCTACTTCAGGGTTAATGGGAAGTAGTTCTTGATTTTCTCGATCTCCACATGAACCTGAAATAAGAATCAATATCTCATTAAAAGTAAAGAAATCTAAATTAAAACAAAAGTTATTTGGTAATAATATTAGTATAATTTAAATTAGACAATCCCCAACAACGATGTGAAAACCTTGCCAGGTGTTTTCTATGACGTGATTCATACTGCAAGTTTACGGTGTCAAGTTTTGTAATATAGTAATAGAGTTAAGATTGTCGAACCCACAGGGATTTTAATTCAATTTTTACTAAGTACTTTAAATGTGTAACTCTTATTTTATCTAGATAAATGAAAATTTGAAATCAGTGATTTTAACTAAATTAACGTGATGAATGTGGTGACAAATTTAACAAATAAATACAAGATATAAGAATAATCAAGATGAGAAAGCAGAGAGTTATGATTTCATCTCACCATCAAATATGATTTTCAAAAGCCTAGTTATCTCTAATCAATTTTCCATATTTATAAGCAAGAACCCAAATATAATTATTCCCCATCTCTCAAGTACCAGCTAAAAATTAATTCCAACATCTCTATTCCGAATTAAAATCAAGAATTTATCAAAGTCTTAGTTTTTTTATGGAGTAAGCTTCATGGATCCTATACTTTCTCTCGAAATCCATAAAATCTATGTTGTGTCAATCTTATGATCGTTCCTAAATTCCCCCCTCTCGAATGCCGAAATTGACTAGCATCTACTCATTCAATTAGTGGCCAATTAATTGAAAGCATTAAAATCATAAGACAAATAAATACATATGGAAAATTTAATAGAAATAACTAAAATTAATCAAGCCATATTCTCAAGCTGTGGTAACAATCAAGCCCGAGAATAGATGTTTAGTTCATGATAGAAGAATTAAATCTAAATATATTGATGAATAACATAAGAGGAAAAAGGAAGAAAAACTCTTTTGAAACTTTTAAGTGGAATTTCCCTTGATATTTTTCATGCCTTCTTGCTTGATTCCTTGATGCTAGCCTCCTTGCCCTTGATAAATTGTGTGTTGAATTGCCTTCGATCTTGCCCCCTTCAATTGTTGGAGAAAATAGGTCTTTTGAATGGTTTTATAGTGTCTTGAAGTTCTTGGATGAATTAAGATTGAGTTGGGTCAAAAAAAGTGTCCAAAAACATAAAAAACCCTTTTCCCGCATAGCAGGTGCCTCGGTGCCAAATATGGGTACTGCAGCATCGCCCTTACCGTTATTTTCAGAATCATGGACGCCCCGTTCGGTCGAAAAGACAGACTGTGCATCCTTCAGTGTTTTTAGCATAACTTTTTTTTTTCGATATCTGATTGTGGTGATTTAAGATGTTTTAGAAAGATAACTCAAAGGACTACAACTTTACTTTGGTTACATTTTCCAATTCGATTGTTTTCTATTTCAAAAATGAGTCTTAATGTGAGACTGAAAATTCGTCAGTTAGAAGTTGAAATGTGATCACACTTTGACTAAATTTGATCCCTTTGATTTCTTTCTTCATCCAAATGACTCCTAGTACTCTCAGATCTTCATTGAGAGGTTTGACACAACTTTTGATTATTTGTATTTTATTCCCCAAACTTTGGATCTCTTAAAATTTGGCCCCTTCTTCCAATTTTGCCAACTTTTGCTTTTTTTTTCCCCTTTCAATTTCATCATCCTATATCACAATATCAAAGTAAAACATTTCAAAATACTCTCAAAGATAACAAAATAATGAATTAAGTGGCATAAATATCATGAGTGTAGAGTACTCATCATTGAGCTGATTTATAAAGCATGGTAGTTTCATGGAAAATTTAAGAGAAAGATGAGGGACTGAGTATTTTCATTTTTATTTTTATTTTTTTAACTTTTGGTTATTGCTTGATAATTTCATGAATCATGTTATATGGGTGTGAGATGAAGATCTTATAATTGGGCTAGGAATGCAATTAGATTTGGTTTCCTACGAACTTCGCTCTAATTCTGATAGGTACGTCTGATGTGAATGTGCTAGTAAGACTATGTATAACTCAATTGAGATGTACTTTGAAACTCTAATGACTATATATGGTTTGGTTTCACCACTAGTCCGATGACTTTTAATGTGAAAAGGATCCTTGATCTTAGCCCTATAATCTTGGTCAGACTACCAATCTACAGGAGCAAATCATGGACTGTTAATCTCATCTCTAAAATCATGGATAATCAACCAATCTATAGGAGCAAATCATGGACACGGTTGCTATAAATTTGCTGCTATTCCTTGTATATTGATTTACTATTAATAGGCTTCCTAGTATAGCTTTTTTGGTTTATGTATATATATAGCTTGCTGCCCTCATTGCAATTTGTGTACAAAAGCCAAACAATTGTAATACACAGTATTTTTCTTACAGCAGAACATCTGTCCTTCTTTATCATTTGTTCTTCTTTATGGTATCAGAGCGTTTTGACTCTAACGAGTACGATCCGTCCGCTTCCGCCATGACTTCTCCGGTTGTCTCTCACCCCACTGGTGGTCAGACTTTTGAACAACATCTAATCTCCATAAACACTAGCCAATTACAGCGCCTCACCACCTCCAGCTACCCAACCTGGCGTACTACTTTCTCTTCCCTCCTCTTTGAGTACGGTATTATGGGGTATCTTGATGGAACCCTCCCATGTCCAGCTGTACCCACCAAAACCACTTCGGCAAATGATGTTGCTGCCTATACTCGCTGGTTTAGGCAGGATCAGCTTCTCTTGAATGCCATCTTGGCTTCTGTTTCAGAACAAATTGCTCCTCTTATTGCTTCAGCAAAAACCTCCCGTGACGCTTGGGACAAGCTTTCTCGCTTGTATGCCAACAAGTCACGAACACGTGTCATGCAACTTAAAGAGGCACTCACTCTCATGCAACGTGGTGACAAACCCATTACTGACTATCTCCACAGTATCAAATGCATTGTGGATGAATTGGCTCTCATTGATACTCCTCTATCTGATGATGATATTACACTCTATGTCTTGCATGGACTAGGTCCTGATTATCGTGACATTGTTGCTCCTATCCGCACTCGCACCACTTCCTTGACATTCGAAGAATTGCACGACATGTTAGTTGGTCATGAGACATATCTCAAGCGCCTCGAATCTGCCACCAATTCGCTGATTGTTACAGCGAACCCAGCAACACGTGGCAATTTCACCTATCGTGGCCATCGCAAAAACTTCACTCGAGGCACTTCATCGAGTCAGACCCGACTCCACTCATCCCGTGATGGTTTTCGCAAGCCCAAGTGCCAATATTGTGATACTCTTGGCCACACTGCTAAATCTTGTCCAAAGCTATCTACCTCGACCTCTGGTGCGGCCAACTTCGTTGGTAAATCACTTGCTAAAGACAAGAAATGGTTGGTTGACTCTGGTGCTTCTCACAACATCACATCTGATTTGTCTAACCTCTCCATCCACTCTGAATATGATGGCACTGATGAAGTAGTAATTGGTGATGGTAAAGGTTTATCAGTTACTCATGTTGGCTCTCTTGGCCTCTCTTATCCTTCGCGTTCATTTCATATTACCAATACTTTATGTGTTCCTGAAATGCATAAGAATCTCATATCTGTGCATCATTTTACCAAGTCCAATAATGTACTAATTGAATTTCATCCTGATTATTTTTTTGTGAAGGATCGGACCACGGGGACGATACTGCTACGCGGAGATTGTGAAAATGGTGTCTATCATCTTCCGCCTCTAGCTAAAACACAGTCATCAATTATTGCCAATGTGGGTGAGCGTACCTCCACCGACACTTGGCATCGTCGTTTGGGTCATCCTGCTCAGAAAATTGTTTCTCACATTGTTAAACAATTTTCGCTTCCTTTACGTAATTCTGTTCCACCGAATAATTGTACCTCATGTCGTCTCAATAAAAGTCATAAATTACCTTTTGGTACTAGCTCCATTGTAAGTCATAATCCTCTTGAATATATTTTTTCCGATGTTTGGGGTCCCACACAAATTCAATCCTCTGATGGATATCGCTATTATGTAATCTTTATTGACCACTATACTCACTACTGTTGGTTCTTTCCCATGCACCAAAAATCTGATGTCTATCAAATTTTCACTCACCTAAAACCTGTGTTGGAAAAGCAATTTGATCATCCAATTAAAAATTTCTACTCAGATAATGGTGGTGAATATATCAAGTTAAAGACATATTTTCTAAATCATGGGATCAGCCACCTTACCACTCCACCTCACACACCCCAACATAATGGCATCTCAGAGAGACGACATCGACATATTGTTGAAATCGGAATGACCCTCCTTACGCAAGCTGCCTTACCCACTACATATTGGTTCTCAATCTAAAGCCGACCCCTCCTTATTTATATATCATATGGATGATCTAACTGCATATTTTCTCATTTATGTGGATGATCTCATTCTCACAGGAAATTCCAGCACTTTTATCCAGCAGGTTGTCACTTCTTTGGGCAAGGCCTTTTCTCTCAAAGATCTTGGCCCATTAAGTTTCTTTTTGGGTGTTGAAGTTATCCCCACCACAGACGGTATATTTTTATCTCAGTATAAGTATATTAGGGAATTACTCTCTAAAACA